GGAAAACCTCAATAATATTTATTTATGATTTAACAAAGAATTTAAACCAACAGTAAGAATTATTATTGTAAAGCATAATAAACAATTTTCTCTTCCTCAATCTTGCTTCATTCTTAAACAAAGTCGGAACTTCAGTCTCACACCAGTTAGAAGGTGAGGGTGTGTTGTGCAATAAATGGAACAGCTGATATCAGCATGACTCTGACTACCCTTACTGTGTCTGCGTGTACCACTTAATTTATAATGTGAATGGTTGTATTGAGTATAGAGTACTACAGTGTTACGTCACGATACCGGGTGATACTACTCCGTTGCTATCATTGCAAAAAGACTTCAGCGCCATTTTCAGCGCCATTTTCTCCACTGGCAAACCATTGATCCAAATTTCTAACGTAATTATCAAGATGTTGTATCTTACTTTTCCTTTGTCAATTTTAATTGATGATTAAATGTGTGTTCGATAACTAATATAATGCAAGCTTTTGTGTTTTTAGTACATTTTGATGGTAAAATATTAGATTTTAAAATGCCTATTCCAGAAAGCCTATGAAGTCATTCAGGTGTAATGAACGGTAGCCAACATCTGTCGACAACAGAGAGCGCCATCTGGCGTCGTAACGACACGACTGTGGTATTCTATATTGTATGTACTTCCCCCTCTGTCTGCATCTATAGGCCTAGTCTTTTCTTTGCAATGTTGTATTATATTGTATATGAATACTCAGTATATTTCTGATCAGCAATCATGTATATAAGTATTTGTATTCTTAAGTTTAAAAGTTGTTTTATGTTATAATTATATTTTTTTTTTTGTTAGTACAACTCAGCTTTTGTGTATTAAAAATACTCTAATGTATATAAATGTATATATAAATAGGTTGTTTGTTTTGTATATAACACCCTGAATGCCTGGTTGGAATATGTCTGTGAATATGTTGTATAATCTGAACATGTTTTGTGAATGTACGTATGCAATCTTGTTCAAATGACAAAGAACATAGTGTGATGCATTACATCTTAAACATGCTACTGATAATAAAAAAAATAAGTGGTGCCTAGAGGTACAGTATGTACTGTACCATACCACGTTTATTTACTAAAGGTAACTAAAGCATTCCAATTGGTGGAGAAAAAAACAAGGCAGTTAATGAAGCTATGCATGTATGTTAATGTAATCTTATTCCCAAGTGATCAGTGGGTTTATTCCTAAACTTAATTCCATCCTAATTTACACCATGTACAGTTGAACTTGTCTAAGTCGAATCCAAAATGTCATTGAAAAATTGTTCGACTTAGAGAAAATTTGACTTACAGATTGTCGATTAATGGAAAACACAACAATTTGGCATGTAAAATAAGTTTGACTTAGAAATTATTTGAGTTAGGCAAGTTTAACTGTATTTATCATGTTAATATATAATTGTATATTCTTATTTAATGTTACCTGAAAAAATCTGATTGACATGTTTTTTTTTTTAAAGTATTAGTCAAGAATTCAAGTTTGTTTACTTCAACCAAATGAATCTTGCTGAGAAATCAACTGTCCACAACAGGAAGACGGCAAGCGCCATCATCAATCCTGATATTCTTAGGCTCCTTGCAGACATCAATTCAGATTTTATGAGGTAGATGTTCCATTTATATTTTACAATGTACTAAAATGTATTCTGTATATTGGAGATGTTGGAATCAACCAGAGACCAGAGATCTGAAATGATTTTCACTGTTCGCTGCACACGGTGGCTGCCACCAGTTTAGCCAACAGAGCTAAGCTGTTCTTATTTCCATGGATACTATTATTTTCTCACTCCTCAAATAACTAGTGTACTCAAGGAATGTGATAATAAAACAATTTTAGTGCACTCTAATGCAGGGTGAGTGTAATTTTGCACCCAAAGTACAAATCTACAATTATTGTAAGTATGGTATCTGACAGTAGTTCCCCCACACATTGTTGATTCTTTCAAACTTTGTCAAGCTCATAAAATATTATGTACAAATTTGTTCTTTCAGGTCAGAATACGACGAAGAGACAATTATGAAAACATCGTCTGACTGTTGGGTGGCGGGTAAAAAGTCTGATCAACGTGAATTCTATGTGGTTCTGAATCTAAAGAACAGCAACTTGATTGAGGTCAACGGTGAGTATATACTGATTTTACCATGTAGGCTGTAGTGGGGGAACGGCTGATCCATTTTAATACACTGTAATAATATTGCGGATGTATCTAGATGTATATTATGGCTTTGTTTAGATATAGTGTGTATAAGTATATATGGCTATGCCAGATGTATCTGTGGATGTGCCTAGATGTGTGTGGCCATATGCCAGATGTATATATAACTGTCTCTACATGTACATATGACAGTTTGTCTAGATTTATATATGGCTATGCCAGATGTATATATGGCTGTCTACATCATATGGCTGTGTCTAGATGTATATATGAATGTGTATGTGGCTATATGAATGTGTCTACATGTACATATGGCTGTTTGTCTAGATTTATATATATATATATATATATATATATATATGACTGTGGATTCTATGGAAGTAACCATAGATTTGTCATTCCAACCAAAATTTCCACTTATAAGAGACTGTTCTGGCGTGCAGTAACCAGTGATACTCAACTTGCTGCTCATATTAGTGATTCAATAAACAAGAACTTCTCACTACTCCCCAATGATTGTAAAGCGTACACCAACTTTATTATCATTACCAATAAAGTTGGAAATGAACTTCTACCA